CATTGCACTCCAGTCTGGGTGACAGAGTGAGACTCCAACTCAAAAAAAAAAAAAGAACAGCGCAGAACACTACAGGAGGCGAGGTCTGGAGCATGGCTGGGGCAGATGCATAGGGCCCGAAGGAGTAGGCGGCTGACAGCCTGGTCCTCAGATTTCACCGGGGGGCAGAGGTGTGAGGCTCTTGGAGGCCGTCTCCAAGGGTCAGGAGTGGGAGATGGCACTGGGCACCCCCCGGGACATTCTTCTTTCATGGACTGGTCTGAAAAATATTCCCCCACTGTACTTTAGAAACCGAGGAGAGGCAATTTCCAGAGAGCCAAAGGCAAAAGGAATTTCCCCAGGACATACTTGCATGATAAAAGGGGACTACAGTCCAGAAATGCAATATGTCACCTTTGGGTCATTTCACCTTGGCAGAGTAGAGGCTGGGGAGTTTATCTGTGCAGTTACGTTCATAAGCAAACGGGTTGGCGGTCTCCCGGGGAACTGGCCTCCATCTGTTTCTGTGTATTTAAAAGGGAGATCGATGATGGATGGGCTGAGCTCTCTCCCGTCCCTGGAGGCATAGCCCAAGTATTCTTATCCCAGCATTTTGCTTCCAGGTTTTCTTGCCTACAGGAGTTCAAGACCTTTAGGCTTTAGCTTGATTTTCTCAACTTATCTCTCAACATTTTTTCTTGGGGTGGGGGGTCAGGGTCTCACTCTGTCACTCAGGCCGGAGGGTAGTGGAATCATGGTTTATTGCAGCTTTGGCCTCCTGGGCTCAAGCAATCCTCCCTCCTCAGCCTCCCAAGTAGCTGGGACTCTAGGCGGGTGCCACCATGCCCAGTTAATTGTTTCTCTTCTTTTCTTCCTTCCTTCCCTCCCTCCCTTCCTTCTGAGACAAGATCTATGTTCTCTAGGTTGGTCTCCAACTCATGGACTCAAGCCATTCTCCTGCTCAGTCTTCCAGAGTGCTGGGATTACAAGTGTGAGCCACGGCACCCGGCCTCCACATTTTATAGTAATGAAGCTTCTTCTTCAAGCAGTTGCTTAAACAGGTCACAATACAGGAATCATAAAAAAAACTCAGGATTTCATTGGCATATATTTATTTTATAACTTCACATTTGTAACACTTTACTTTGTACACTGTCAATAAACAGCAACAATGAGGCCATTTTCATAAATACAAAAACACACGAAATCAGGTGTAATAAACAACAGTTGCATCACTTTGGTCGAACAGCACTGAAAATAGAATTCGGAAAGGTAAATGATCACAAGCGATACCTTTTGTTTTTAAAATGCTTTTCTTATCATCCCAGGACATCCTTCAGTTCAACTGAACCACAATCGGAAAGAATCAACGAGGACGCAAAAGTCAAAAATCTCTAACAATCACCAACGACCGCTGGGGCAGTCACCACAAATGTAAAAGACAACAGCACTGAAATTGACTTTAAGAGCCGGAATGGTTTCTAACACGATGGCATCACAACCCACCCGGAAGATGACACTTTTACTCGTTACTGCACGACAGTCAGAACGGTAAAGCGAACATGCGTGGAGCAGACAGCAGCATCGCGAAAACCACGAGCCTCGAGGGGAGGAGGCTGCCTATTTCCAGACATCATGCGGAGTGCTGAAAAGGCATGGTGCCACTTGATCCCAAGGACAACCCTAGACTCTCCTCTTCCCGTTTTTCAGACGAGGAAACTAATGTCTAGAAAAGCTAAGGAACTTGTGTGCGGGAGCACAAGCCTACTATGAAACTACAGGTCAACTGTGTCGGAGCTCTGCCAGGCTCGAAGCACAAGGGACGCCCATTTCTGCTGGGCTGGCATGCTTGACATGACGCGTGGGGGCCTGATTGATACGCCCGTAAGGTGTTGCAGTTTTTAAGATTTACGCACAATTACAAGAAGTTCGGATAGAGGTAAGATGCCACAAAGGAAGCTTTGCTCCACGGTCTGCACAAAATGAGTCACTCTGGAAATAAAAGCATGCCTGTTGGTAAATGCGGATGTGTTAAGATGTGGAGTCTACTTGTTACTTATTCGAGATTTAAAGGAGCTTAAAATACGTCTTGAAGATGGAGCGGCTGAAAGATCTCTGCAGAGCTGTGGAGCACGATTTGAAAGCCACTCTGGAGGTGGACAGAGGATTAGCATGAGGTGGAGAGCTCTGGGCTTCTAAGCGCCATCACTTCTTAGCATTTTGGTGTTGAGCCCACTTAACCCATCTGAGCTTCAGTTTCTTTCTCTTTCTTTAACTAATTTATTTATTTGAGTCAGGATCTCGCTCTGTCACCCAGGTTGAAATGCAGTAGCGCAGTCATGGTTCACTGCAGCCTTGGTCTCCTGGGCTCAGGCGATCCTCCCCCCTCTGCCTCCTGAGTGGCTGGGACTATAGATGTGCACCACCATGCCCAGCCAATTGTTTGATTTTTTTTTGTGTGTAGAGATGGGGTCTTGCTATATTGCCCAGGTTGGTCTCGAATTCCCACCTTAGCCTCTCAAAGTGCTGGGATTATTGCACACAACAGTCCCTCAAGAAATGTGAGTTCATTTTTTCTCTTCTTTGCCCTCTGTCACCACTAAAAACTTTCCTCTGTGCGCAGACTGGTCTGTGCACTTAACCCAAACCTGCTCTACACACCTCTGGCTCCCATGTGTGCTGTCTCCTCAGGCCCACCCTTTCTCTGGGGATGTCTCTCCAGGCCGTGGACCTCTTGAAAGGGATTAGGCTGAGTCGCCTGTGCCTTCAGGGCCTGCCACAGCACCTAGTTCTGGAACCATCCATCCAACACTTAGCAAGCGGGTGGGAGAAGCACTTCCCAGGTAAGTGAAGAAAGAAAACGCCAGGTGGAGATGGTCCTACTCGCTGGGTGATGACATTTCTGTTGGGGTGACGGACTTGTGTGCACAAGGGGTTAGTCAGTCTTTTACCTGCCTAGGCCATCTCCTCAACTAGACTGGAGCCTCCCTGAGGGCAGGGCCCATTGTGTAGGTTTCTAACTGCTTTACTGTAGGTTTCAGCTTTATAGCTGTCGTCTTTCACGGTGCTAGGTACCTGGGGCGAATCTGCTGATTTGAAAAAGAAAAACATCTGATGGGTCCAACAGCTTCGTTTTTTCAAACACATTGCAAGAGGTATTTTTCTTGAATGTCAATTCTTTCTTCTGTGGTATGGGTCGACTCTGGTGTACTTGGGCGTCTTTAAAGGAAACCAGAAGTACGGGTGTTCAGGTTCTTTTAAGAGATCTAATATCTGGAATTTAATCTTTCATTTATTAATAATCGACACAGGGCCTAAGAAACCCCCACACATTTTTTTTTTCCTTAGAAAGAAAAACCAAGAATTGGCTTGCACGTCTCGATTTCCGTCCTGCACACTGAAGAAAAAAATGACTGGAAGTTCTTAGCCTAGCACAGCGCACGTCCCTGGGCCCTCCGCTGTGGGTCCTGCCCCCAGTGGGTTTTAGTCCTCTCCCTCGCGATCCCAGCGGACACAGCCCCCGCCTGCCCCCGGCTCGTCACGGCGGCGGACATTCTCAAAGGAGGCCTCTTCCTCCTCCTCCTCCCGTATGATCTTCATTAACTCAAGGAAGCTGGGGAGCGGACCCTCCTCCTTCAGCTCTCTGAGCCGGCACCACAGGGCGTTGTCGAGGTTGGCCCCCGCCAGGACCTGCTCCAGGCGGACCTGGTCCGCGATGCTTCTGGGGAAGGCGTGTTTCTCCACGGCTTTCCGGAGCAGGGGTTCCAGCCGGAGCACGTAGGCCGAGACGCTCTCCCCCTCCTCTCGGTAGGTCTTCAGGTACCTCACCTGGGAGGTCCTGCGGCTCTCCACGCTCCCGAACACCTGCTTAAATGCCTCCAGACACTCTTCCAGGCTGATAGATGGGTTGTCTGCCTGCACTATGTGCATGAGGTTCAGGGCAGGGCCCCGTACACTTTCCGTCAGCCACCTCTTCTTTTCTGCCTCTGACACCGGCCACTCTTTGGTTATCTCCATAGCCTGCTCCAGCCAGACCTCAAAGGGCTCTTCCTCGGGGGCTGGCACAGCATTCCCTGAAAACACACGCAGCTTCCGGTACCTCATGGGCAGCAGGGGCTGAGGGGAGTGTGCCATCGCCTGTCCCAACAGGTGGGCCAGTAACTCTGGCGATATGCTGGGCACCGTGGCTGGAGACACGCCCTCGTGTCCAAGGGCTTGGAACATACCTGACATTGTCTGCCCCTCTTTTTCTAGAAAGAGGTTCAGCCTTTCGAGAAACTCAGTGTCTTGGTTAGGGGTCTTAAAGATCACCTTCCAGACACCCCCCTTTCCCTGGACCTCACTGGGGATCAACGAGACATCGGTTTCCTCCAGAAGCTCTAACAAGACCGCACTGGCATTCTCCTGCTTCCGGAATATCTTGCCAAGCAATCTGTACCTGCCTAGAGACTTTAAAGTCTCCTGAAGGACCTCCTGGATCTCGGCCTCATTACAGTCCACCGGTATGCCCGTCACCATCAGTGACTTCTGCTCATCCACACTCATGATCCTGCACCAGTCTTTTAACAGGGCCAGTGCCATCGTCCCAGCTGTTTACCTACTCTGGCTCTGTGGGTGTCGATCTGCTAGGAATGTAGATATGCACTGCTTTAGGACTGAAAATAGCCCGGATGAGCTTCTAAACCCAAAACCCACCAGTGAACGGGTCCCAGGCTGGGTCGCTTCAAGACAGTCTCAAAGTCTTCTGGACTAATAACCCCCGCTCACCCAGTGGCAAGAACTCAGCACCTTTCGTGACGCCTCTAGATCTGACCCCAGATCTCAAGGGTGTGTTGGGTGTCAGTTCTCACCACACCATAGCCGGCGGCTCTGCGTCAGGATGCTGCCGATTCTCTCGGATGCTGGCAGTCTCGTGGTGCTGAACCCTCTCTGACCGTCGAGGCACCTGGGACGGCTGCTTCCACCGGTGCTCTTGGTGCCCGGGGCTCTGCCTCTCTCCAATTAGTGGAAAAATGCCTTCCACGCAGGTACCTGGTACTCTTGGAGTGGCTCGGACCCCTAGGGAAACAATGTCCAGTCTGACCACACAGTTGGGGGATGGAACTGGGGGTAGACAGTGGGGGAGGGGGGATGGAAGGAATTCTGCCTCACATTGTACTTGTGTCTGTCCACCCAGTCAGACCCGCTCTTGGCTTACTGTGACTTTTTCTCTCGGGAACCCCACTGAAATCTGGCAGCTTCACACACTCACCAGACATGCGGATTAATGTCTGAGCCCTCGCTGTGGACAGGATTCGAGACCTCTGCCGTGTGAAGGATGAAGTCAGGAGATATGGCTAGATACCTGCTTATGCGGTCCAGAGCGCTCCGTGACAGTCGAGGAGCTTGTTTATTCAGCTTCTAGCACAGGAAGATGCCACTCATCGCCACACCACGAGTCTTAGTTCCAACCAAGTCAAACTGCCCTGTTTCACATAAATAATAATAATACGCGTTTTGCTTCACTAATATCCAATGATAAAGACGGTAAATGCACTTATTCAAACTAGGACAATCCTTCCTACCTCTAATACGTAATATTACATTGCTTTACTTTTTTGATTAAAAAATAAAAATCTAATTGTCTGGGCTCAGTGGCTGAGCCTGTAATCCCAGCACTTTGGGAGGCTGAGATGAGTGGATTGCCTGGGCCCGCGGGTTCGAGACCAGCCCAGGCAACTTGGTGAGAGACCTCGTCTCTATAATAAACAAATAGAGCTGGGCCCGGTGGCTCAGCCTGTAATCCCGCGCCTTTGGGAGGCTGAGGTGAGTGGATTGCCTGAGCCCGCGGGTTCGAGACCCGCCTGGGCAGCGAGACCTCATCTCTACAATCAATCAAAAAATCAGCCGGGTGTGGTAGCTCATGCCTGTAATTCTAGCTACTTGGAAGGCTGAGGTGGAAGGATCGCCAGAGCCCAGCAGGTCGAGGCTGTGGTGGCTTCGAGTGGCCACTGCACTCCAGTCTGGGCGACAGAGTGAGACTCCAACTTAAAAAACAAAACAAACAAAAACAAAACAAAACAAAACAAACAAAAAAACCAAATAGATAAAAATTAGCGGGCGTGGAGGCGTGTGCCTGTAGTCCCAACTACTTGGAAGGCTGGGGTGGAAGGATAATAAACAAATAGAGCCGGGCTCGGGAGGCTGAGGTGAGTGGATTGCCTGAGCCCACGGGTTCGAGACCCGCCTGGGCAGTGAGACCTCATCTCTATAATAAATCAAAAAATCAGCTGGGTGTGGTAGCGCATGCTTGTATTTCCGGCTACTTGGAAGGCTGAGGCGGATGGATCGCCGGAGCCCGGCAGGTCGAGGCTGCGGTGGCCGGAAGCGTGAGACTCCAACTCAAAAAAAACCCAAAAAAACCCTAAGAATTACTCAAACATTTAAAAGTAATGTAATATAGTTATAACGATGAGGGGAAAAAAAGTCTCAGGGCCAAATAAGTTACATTGGGAATTGTGATTAATTCCCACATCTAAGTGCTGCTTCTGCAACGAATGGTATGTGAAATTGTTTGGATATGTCTCCTCCAAGTTTCATGCTGAAAGGTGGTTCCTACTGCTGCCGGTGGGGCCTGGTGGAAAGCAAATGGATATTGGGCTGGATTTCTCCTTGTGATGAGTGAATTCTTGCTCTGTGAGTTCTCTTGAAATATGATTGCATCTCACCCTGCTCTCTTCCATGCTCCCACTCTGCCTTCTGCGAAAAGCGGAAGCTCCCTGAGGCCTCACCAGAAGCAGATGCTGGCGCTAAGCTTCTTTTCATGGAGTCGCAGTCGCACTCTGTCACCCACGCTGGAGTGCAGTAGCACGCTCACAGCCATCACACAGCCTCAACCTTCTGGGCTCAAGCGATCCTCCCGCCTCAGCTTTCCAAGTAGTTGGGACTACAGGCGTGTGCCACCACGCCTGGCTAATGTTTTTGATTTATTGCAGAGACGAAATCTTGCCGTGTTACCCGGGCTGGTCTCGAACTCCTGGGTTCAGGCAATCCTCTCTCCTCTGCCTCCCAAAGTGCTGGGATTATAGGCGTGAGTCACCACACCCAGTCTGTGCCATGCTTCTTATACAGCTTGCAGAATGGTGGGTCAAATAAAACTCTTTAAAAAATTACCCAGCCTCAGGTATTCCTTGATAGCAATGCAAAATGGACTCTGACAGTAAGTTATTGATACAACACTTCTCCTGGCATTTGAACTTGAGTGGGTCACTTGAGAAAAAAGGAGAAAGCACACCTCACAAGGAGCGTGCTCTGGAGAGTCTGTGCAGAACGTAAAAGGGAGAGTTCCTAACACCTGCCAGTGACCGCGGTGGAGGCTGTGTTAGGAGGCCACAACCCTGTCCCCCTTGGCCTGAACAGCTCCATCCATTCGAATGGGGTCCACATGCCACAGGCGCCAACCTGTATTCTATTAGCAGCTGCTCCAGCTGCAGGCACATCTCCTGTGTCTTCCCAGAGGTGAAGGGATCAGAGGTGCTAGAGAACAGGAGTGCAAAATGCCACTTCACCCATGTGCAGCAGGCCCAGGGGCCCGAGACATGGGTTTCCCCTTCTCAAATATAGGGGCACTAGGTATGGTGGCTCACACCTGTAATCCCAACACTTTGGGAGGCCGAGGATCACCTGAAGCCAGGAGTTCGAGACCAGCCTAGGGGATGTATTGAGACCCTGTCTCTACCAAAAGAAAAAACAGAAAAAAAGAAAAGAAGATTTAGCAGGGTGGAGTTGTATGCATCTGTAGTCCCAGCAACTTGGGAGATCAACGTGAGAGGATCTCTTGAGCCCAGGAGATCCAGGCTGCAGTGGCACCGTTGTGCTAAAGCCTGGATGACAGAGGCCTTATCTCAAAATAGAATGAATAAAACATGGGGGTGCCCTTCCTCCCCGTTGGAACATTTACAGGAAACGTGGGTTGTAAAAAGGCACCAAATGCCCAGAAAGAAGCATCTCTAAAGTCCACATAACTGCCACGCTGAAGTCAGGCTACCTTTAGTGACTCTCCTTCCCAATGTAACCTGCAATGTGACCTTCAAATCAAAAGATGGCAATCAACATGCCCTTGATATATGCGAGGGCCATGGCTGGAAACGCTTGGATATGAAAAAAAAAAAAGAACCCTGGGTTCTGTTACATAAAAGGAGCCAAGACGAGCTGGAAAAGGGCCAGACCGAAGTGGAAGACCCTCACAAGGATTGCTGGATCACTTAACTAAAAAAAAAAAAAATACTTGACCTTGGGCCATGGCCTCAGTCTCTCTAAATTCAGTTTCCTAACCTGGCAAGCCGGGCTGGGAAAGACTCAGTGAGCAGGGCGGTTGCCCGTAGGAAAGGATGCCATCCAGGGTGGGAGCGCTTTATTCAAAGGCTTCGTTCAAGCGCAAAGGTGGGGCTTCCTCCAAAATGCCCACTTGGGGTTCTCTCAGCCCCTCCACGCCTCGTCCTCCTCCTCCCCTCCCCGGGAGGCGCCTTTCCACCCTTCCCAGCGGACTTGTCTTCAGCTGTGACCGGTTGCCCACCACATTTAACTCACAGTTGGGGCGGGGGGCGGGTTGCTATCCGCATTTCATCCCTCCGGGGTAGAGGGTGACGACGGGACTGCAACCGCGGCCACACCGCCCGGCGCGAGGGCCCCGAAGCGAACCGCCTCGCCGAGTCCAAACCCTCCCTGGCCCCAGGCTTCCCTCCCGGGCCGCCCGAGGACGGGCATCGGCTTTGCAGGATCCTGCCGCCGTGGAAAGAGAGGCGGGCCTGTGGGGCTGAGACGTGGAGAGGACCCGGAGGTGGGAATAAGCGATGACGCCCGCACCGATCGCGTTCTTTTTGCACAAACCAAAGCGCCCGCTGGGTCCTCTCACCGACCCCGGCTCAACCACGCACACCTACGCCAAAGTCCCCACGTACCTTTCCCCTGGTCGGCCGCAGAGCGTACCGGGCATTCTCAGTGGGCACCCACCCTCCGCTCACCGTCGCGCGACGCACTCGGGCCCTTCCGCCCCAGACACGCGCGGCATCTGGAACCCTGGGAAACCCCGCGGCTGTGGCGCAGTGCGCAACAGGGGCGGGGGACAAGGCGGGGCGCCGGGGGAGAGGGGAAAGGCTGGAGATTTAAGGGGTGGGCTTCAGTCTCTGTGCGGGCGGGAGGACGTGCGATACCAGATCACGACATCCCCCGGCCCTTCTTGGTG